CGGTATCAGCATGACAGACGGTCTGGACTTAATTCCATTCTTTAATGACTCGGTTAATGCTAAAGCTACGTTTTCCCCCGTATGATCATCAGGACAAAAGAGCGTTTGTAGACATCTGCTTTTGAACTCAAACTGGTCTGTAACAAAGTGAACAGTTAGACTAATGTATGGCTCCATTGTTGCACTTGACCAAAGGTCAGATGTGCAAGAGAAATGGTGAATATTTTCCAGATCTTTAGTGACAGTATCTTTCAATTGACCATACTTTTTGGGGATAGCAATGTTTGAAAAATACTTCCGACTAGGTATGTCGTATTTTGGATCCAAATTTCTTATCATCTTCTGACAACCAGGTTTTTCCACTAAGTTCAAAGGTAAGCTATCTTTTGCTAAACAAAAGGTGACTGTATCTGTGACTAGCTGCCACTTCTTGCTGCTTCTTGAGTAGAGTGATGATTTACCTAGTGCTTCGACATTTGTCATATTTTGGCCCCTTTCTTTCTTCTTTTCTTTAACTTTCTTCTCTTTTAGTCTCTGGTACTCTTCTGGGTGCTTAATACGAATGTGCGACGGTAGATTTGATGTGTTACCACCTTTACTAATGACTATCTTAGAACAAATCTTACAGATAGGTCGGTCTTCTTCTCTAGGTCGTCCAGAGTTACGTGGTCTAAAACCGAAGTATTGCCAAACGAAAGATGTAGTGTTTCGTTTAGAAACGAGTCCAGTACTTGCTACGTCTTGAATATCTTCTGCTCCATCTCTTCCTTTGCTTTCCCCTTCACAACTGGCCACCATTTTATTGCTATTATTAATTATTATTACACGTATGAGGATACAGAAATTTACTAATCCGTATACGGGAATACCATATATACGGTATGTCGATGTTATTGTTTAATAACGGTATGATAACGGTTATCACGGTTTACTGGTTATAAACATAAATATTGGTATATTGCCCACCTCTGATAAATACCTGCGAAAACTGAGTCATCAGATTTGTCTCTTCTAGCTACTTTAGGCAAAAGATCTTTGCAGTAATATTAGCAATAATTCAATTGAACTAAATTTGAACACAGTCATACCTGTACATGTACTACTGCTAATTCTGATATCATCTTTATGCCATTTAACACCTATCAAAAGTGTTATAATGATGCATGTAAAGATATATATAATATACTTGGATATATTTGAGACACCAAAATTATACCCTCCATAGTTGCATCTTCTTACATAGGATTGTCTTGTACACTATCTGTGACCACTTTACACGAATGTATTTAAAGACATGGTAAAATATTAACATTTTTTACTGCCAATTAAAAATTTTTTTTATAGTAATAATGCATTTTAATTGAACTTTTAGCAATCATAGCTGTAGATGTACTACTGCTACTATCATTTTTATGTCGCTTAGCATCTATCAAAGGTAAAATGAAAGCATGTAAAAATTTATACTTGGATATGTTTGATGCTCCAAAATTGTATCTTCTATAGCTGTATCATCTACAAGATTGTCACGTACATTAGCTGTGATAAGAGCAAGCAATTTTTGACAATAATGAATCACATACTATAATATTTTTGTACTTAGTTACCCATTCACCAAATTCAAACGAAACATTTTTTAGTGCTCAGAGGCACATGGCCATAATAAACCAAATTAAAACTTATAGCCAAGAACATAAAACAGCAATTTTCTAAAAGTTACACACCTCAATTTGCATGCCACTTTGTAATTATTTGACAAAATATACCTTGCTCAATGTCTTCACATTCATTTTCAA